CTGTAGCAGCATCTTACGTTTGGCGGGAGAGAATCGCATTCCAAACATTCGTAGATTGTAGCTCAAGGTGTTCAGAAGACTCTGTAACACACTATACAAAAGTAATCATTATGTATGAAAAGACACTATATGATTGGCAAACTTCGGTTGAGACACTGCAAGTTTCAATTTTTTATCTACCACTTCAAACTTGATAGTCTAATCCAGATAGTCACAACGCGGAGGAAGAAACTAGGACAGTTAGCATTTAAAGCAGTGTTGTGAGTAAGACATGTAAACCACAGCATGAAATGAGAAGGTTCGGATGTTGTCAGTAACTGATTTCCAGAAAATTCACTACTCATGGGAACAAAATTATATCAAGGACCAAATATTTTTTTTTAAAGGCCTTGTGAACAAGTCAGACACAGTAAGAAGATAGCAGAAAGTGCTACAAAGCATTAAGCATCTTCAAGTAGTCAAACAAACGAAAACTTATTTCAATAAAGCGAAAATATTCATTCAGACATCTATGAGCAAACAAAATAATTGAGCATAGAATATCCTTTTCGATAAATTCCTCTTCTGGCTCTACAATTATATATCTGTTTATACAGATAGGATATTCTAGAAAAGTGGTCAATAACAATATCAGTGTTTTTTTGAAACAATATCGATTTGTAAAAAAAGATCAATGCAATTACAGTTCATTAAAGATGCTTAAATCATAATAATAATAATAATAACAATAATAAAGATATAGTAGCAAATAGAATATCAACTAAAATTAGGAAAATTTCTACAAAAATTGAGGATCATTCGAACCTAGATGGCCAAGGTAAGGATAATGTCTGAACTAGCTACTTTTGGAAGCATAAATTAGGCTTCGTAATGTTGATCCCAACAGCCTCAGCAATACTTAGTAATCGAACTCTTGCGGAGAAGTTAAGATTTATTGGTATGCGGTAAATGACTCTGAAAGCCTCAAAGTTGATATCAATCTTGTGTTCCGTATCCACAAGATGAGATAGAATAGCGCTACGAACAGATTTTGTTTGTCCTTTGCTTAACCACTTTGCAGGATGATGTTCACAAATCCAACGAAAAACACGCCTGATTGTACGGCCTATGTAACTGGCTCCACAGGAGCAGTTAAATTGGTAGATACACATGGAAGAGGCGAAATTAGGTAGTTTATCCTTTACTCCCGAATGCAGAAGAGGAGTGGTTCTGAAGACACAGCGTAATTCAGCAGCTTATCTATTTTTTAGAAAGGAACGAGTTAGGACAAGTGTAGAGATATTTGAGTCAAAGTTTCCCATGTGATCTGTATACTAGACATTTGACCCCAAGCTTACAATTAAAGTTCGTGTTACAAAGATTTTCATTGATACAGGCTCTAACCGATCAAAAACATAGTTTTTTTTCTATATTTTAAACCAGCAAACTTAAAGATCACGTGAAATAGTCATATAATTAACAGTGATTTCTGGTCATACTTCACTCAATAGTGACTGGTTACATGACCAAGTTGCCTAGAGGTTTTTCTATTGAGAAGTTGTGACTGGTGGGGTCCACCACCACGTCAGAAGTCAGGACAAATACTCGCCTCTAATGGCATTAGCTAGTGGAAAGTTGCGCTAAAATCACGAATTGGTAGAATTTGAAATCCATGAACCATTGAATCGGGTCGCAATGGCTGGACAGTCTATGAGCTTGGCTTGTAAGCAGAAGGTTCAAGGTTCGGACCCTAATAGTGGCTGCTTACGGATGATGGGTCCCAAACTAGGACGAAACAGCTGTCAAATACTCCAGTGCTGGTTTTCAAAGATTCTCTAACTGACATCAATCCATGGTGAAATCCATCTGAAACGAACTAAACCGCTACAAACTAAGTCTTGAGAATATGTCGTTTTTCTTGGACGAATAAATCGTTGTCATCTTAATTTGTCTTTTGTGTTGTCTCTGTGCGGGAACAGCATTAGAGTGATCAGTAGTACAGTAACGTGTGTTGAAGTATCCAGTTGGAACGAATTCGATTCTAGTATTATTTCAGCTGCGACATATAGAAACAACAAACAATATACTGTTTTCATATATTATCTCCATACTCTTAATTACTTACGAACACCGAAGCAACCAAATACAGTTGGGTTTCATTGTGTACCCGGATATCTGAATAATTTCTGCTTTAAAACAGTTACGAAGCTTTTGTTTCACGTTTATAGTTTGTTGAAGTAAACTGTACCTTCAACCATAAAATAGCTTATAATAAGACTTCGAAATCGGCAGTGCTGTGAAATACGACACAGTTGGAGTACGCGACTCCCATGAAGGCTTAAAGCACTGAGTGTCTTCAAAGAGTGAATAAGAGAGAAACTATTGATTATCACAAAATTATGTCATAACAAAAATGTAAATCAGAGACTCAATACGAATTTGCAGTGTATCGGTGGCACAGGGGTAGAATACTCGCCAACCACACCATATGTGGTCCGGGGTTCGATCCCCGGCCACAAATGCACTCCCTTACCTTGCTAAGCCAGCAACAAGACTGGTAAAGAGGAAAGATTGGGCATGGCGCTAGCAACTCCATCCCTTAAAAAATCAGCACCACTGCTACAGAAACTTCAGGCCTCTAGCTTGAAACCCTCTATGTTCATCTGGGAACATGCAGGAATAAAAATAACACGAATTTGTGCATTGTAGTGTCACTCCTACTTCATCTATGGCCACGGATCAAAGAATTTGGGGCAATTCCAAAAGAAAATAAATAAAACGTTGGGTTACAGCAAAAACCTCAGAAACCAAAATGTCACCACTTTACAAAAAAAGAAACAGTGGACTCTAGAAGACCGAGACTTCGCAGATAATTTATGCCTAATGTCACATAAACTCGAAGACTTACAGGCGAAAATCAACAAACTGACTGAAGAAGCAGAGAAGACAGGGCACCAGGTGAACAAAGAGAAGACGGGGGTCATGAAGATATCCAGCGACCAACAACAACAAGCACCAATCGCTATCGAAGGGAGAAATTTGACATATATTTTACTTGCTTCCCCTATCTAGGAAACATCATTTCAACTACAGGCGCAACGGATGGACACGTCAAAGCCAGCCAGAATCGGAAAGGCAGCATACGCTTTCATCAGCCTGAAACCAGTTTGAAAATCTTCTGCGCTCATCGTGAAGAACGAGATTCGGATTTGAACACCAATTTTAAGTCTGTCAGTTCTTCTGTATGGGTCAAAAACTTGGCAGGTCACGAGAAGCATTTCCAACTAGTTATTGCAGACTTTTATTAATAGATACCCTCGCTGGCACCACACTAAATATCAAATGGCTGACCAGAAAGAATTACCAGCAAAAAACTCTGGAGACGAACCAATCAGGAACCTACTGCCCAATAAATATTTTGAAGAAAACGAAGGTGGATCAGACACACGCCGAGAGCACCGTTGAGTGAAATCCAGCGCCAGGCCATCGCTAGAGTTGGAAACGACAAGTGGGGCGTCCGAAGGCGGCATGGAGGAGATCGTGTGAGGAGGAGATAAAAGACTATTGGCAATCGTGGAGCCAATTGAAGAGGGTTGCAGAGAAGAGGACAAAGTGGAGATATTCTGTTGAAGCCCCATGTTCCAATGGGAACCCAAAGGAACAATAATTATAATATAATATACAGATTCGTACCTAGCGCCAAGAACACAATATGTTGGTTGTTCAGTGTAGGATATGGCAATTCTCTGCTTCATTACGAAGGGAGTGTGGTAAGCGAACATCACTAGGGAATTTTAAATTAAAAGGATACGCATGTAAAGTATTCTTCAGTTTTGAGTGGTTTTTAAGATGACTTAGAAAAAAGTATTACTTCAAAAGATGCGCTATTTAAAAGGAAGAATTTCATTACATGGAGAACGGAGTTTTGTTTGGTGTTCATTATTAAACATTTATTTGAAACTAGCAATAGTGAAATACAGTGGATGACAGATGAACATTGCTTTTAAAATCGGATCTATGATCCGCATGTTTTCAGAAGAAAAAAAGGACAAAGAGGACTACATCGCAAAGATGAAAGCTGCGTTAAATGACCCGTTGAGGTTTAAAGTTGACAACTGCCAGAAAAAGATAAGACAGATGCTGTCGAAAAACGCATCACAAACGCACTGAGAGATCTTCTAAAGAAGAAATTGATTGACAACAATACGTACAATGATTTGAAACCCCGAGTGTTCCACTTGCCACACATGTATGGCCTTCCGAAGATACACGAAAAACAAGTCCCCTGAGACCTATATTTCCAATGATCAACTGGTCCCAACATAAGGTGGCACGCTGGCTTGTGGAGAAGTTGGAACCTATTCGTCAACGGCTAGGCGTGCACACTATGAAGGACTCATTTCATTTCTCTGAAAGTGTGAACCACATGAACGTTTTAAATAAGTTCATGGTGTCATTTGACGTGACCTCCTTATTCACAATGATTCCAATCAGCGAAACTATTGAAATCATTTGTCAGCAGTCTGATCTTCTCCCACTTCTAGGGTGGGAATTCAAACGCCTACTGCTTATGTGTACCATGGATGTGCAATTCCAATTTGACAACACTCTTTATCACCAAATAGATGGTGTAGATATGGACAATCCATTTAGCCCTGTTTTAGCAGATATATTCATGTCCAACCTTGAAAGAACAAAGTTGAAGCGTGCAATCGACGAAACAACTTCCTACTATCGATATGTTGATGACACATTTATAGTGTGCAAAAATGAAAGTCATACTTCACACTTACTAAGATTATTCAATGATGCACACGTCAATATTGAGTTCACTATGGAACATGAAAGTGACGGAAAGTTCCACTTCCTCAACATCGCCATGGAACGCCTAGAAGACGGTAGTCTTCAAAAGTCAATTTATCGGAAGCCCACGAAATAAAAGATGGTATCATTTTATTCTACTAAAACTGTAGTTCTTGGATTGTTCAAAAAAGAAAAATAGATTACTACAATACACTTACTTGAATGACCATTTGAGAATTTAAAAGTTCTGTTAGATATGGTTGTAATTCTCGTCCGCAAGAAACAACAAAAGCTGCACGATCGAAAAACCATCCACCAATACAAGGTTGATCAAATTTACTTTTTGATAGAGTATCATTATTCCCTGAATGAATCGGTACAAGATTGACTGATGAAGAGCTTTCATTATGTTGTAGTGCTGATCGATAACCACCTATTGTATAAATAAAAAAATAGATCAAGTTAATGCGGAGAATTAATAATATTCACAGTATTATTACTATTATTATTCCCTTAGGTTCCAAGTGGAGCGTAGGGATTCAACAGCACGTCCCCATTTAGTCCTGTTTTCTGTAGTCAATTTTAGCTGGTCCCACGATCTCCTTCATGTTACCTTCGGATGTCCAACTCACATTTTCTTTTTCGGGTCCCACTCGAGACATCACATGGCACACGATGTAACTCAACGGTCGCCTAAATGTGAGTCCGATCCATCTCCATTTTCTTCGGCATATTTGTTGAGCAACAGATTATTGATTTCTTCTTAACCAGAGTTTCTTTTTCCTTCCCGACATGTCATATGATCGGGCAAAGTTAAACTTTAAGCACCACTAACTAACTACCAATCAGCGAATGACCTCGAACGTACCAATCATGTGAAGGAGGCATTTTTATGTATGGAATACATATATATTTATGAAAAAAAAAAACAATGAATAAAAACTGTAGAAAAGTTTTACAGAGGATATCTTTCTCTCACATGTGATAAAAGTAGCTCTCAGTTTTAGGTTGGAGTATCAACAGATTACTCAAAACGTCGTCATCAGTAAACATTACTGTATAACAAACGCTGTGAGACTTTATGAAAATAAATTTGACCCACAATAGAATTATACTCTACCACAGGGCACAAGTATTATTCTTATAGCAACAGAGTAATTTAACCACATTCTATGCATGTAATTAAATTATTTAGGTGACTTGCTACAGGACAGAGTTTCCTGGAGTTCTAGTGAGAAGTCGTAACCGGTGAGGTCCATTCAGTTGGGAGTGCGGATGGAGTTCCTACCGATGACATTGGTTGATGGTCGCGCTAAATCACGAATTGGTGGAAGTTAGTATTCATGGGCTGGCCATTGGATTAGGTCCCAGTGACTAAATGGTCTACGAGCCAGCTTGCCTTGTAACCGGAAGGTTCTGGGTTCGAACCCTGGCAGTGGGTGCGTACTGCCGATGATTGCCAAACTAGGACGAGAAAACAGGTGTCCAGCACTCCCTGGTTTTCAATGGTTCTCTAACTGATGTCAATCCGTGGTCAAACTCGTATAAATAACAATAACCCTAATCTTTCCTGAGCCTAACCCCAACGTGAAAATATACCTAAACTAACTGTAATCTAACTCGAACCAACCGTAATGTTGACCTAACCCTAACTTGTCCTTGGCTTAAAGCGTAACTTAATCTTTCCAAAACCTAAGCTGAAACTTGCCAGATATCCTATTTATTAGCATAACACTTCAATGAGTGTATTTCATTGATAAATACAACAATACTTGCCAGGTTTCACTAACTTGTTTAGTGAGCGTTTCAAGGTCACTGGTGCGGTCGCACTCCGTTGGCAGTTAGTGGTGCTTAAAGTTTAACTTGGCCATATGATCTTCAATATGGAGCCAAGACAACTGTTTACTAATTCACTAGTTTCCTAACTGGTCCTAAGCCCGGATGCAGTAAATTCCCAAACTAATTCCAAATAATGAGGGTATATCTTTCCGATTCTGGTTTTAGCCTCCTCATCTGTGTCGTATGTCTATAGTTGAAACGATGCTCGTCAAATAAATGAGAGAAGTTGCCTCTTTCAAATTTCTCCCATTGATAGTGATTGATGCTTGCTGTTATTGTTGATTGGTTAGTTGGCTATCTTCATCACCTCTGTTCTCTCTATGTTCACTTGAAGTCTTGTCTTTTCTGCCTACTTCTTCTGATAACCTGTTGGTTTCCACCTGTAGGCCTTCGAGTTTGTGTGATATTAGAAATACGTTGTCAGCAAAGTCCAGATCTTCTAGAGTCTTCCTGCCAGTCCAACGTATTTCTGTCTTCTCGCTCTTTACGGTCTAATGCATGAGCCAGTCCACCACAATTAGGAATATCATTGGTGATAGTCAGCCTTGTCTTACTCCTGTATTCACTTCAAAGGTTTCACTGGATTTTCCATTGTGGATCAGCTGCCACGAGGCATTGTCATATAGCCAGCTGTTGAATGAGGCTGATAAAGGTTTGGGGCACTTCATAGTGTTGAAGTAGTAATTAAATTACTTCGTGGTCAACGCCATTGAAGGCCCTTTCAATGTCAGTGAAGTTGAGGCAGAGACTTGACTGCCATTTCACGCTTCGTTCTATGATAATGTGTAGAGTGTCAATTTGATCAGCACATGATTTGCTTTCCCTGAATCTAAAACGTTTCGGGCGGAGTTTTGCGTGAAGTAAATCTTTAAGTTTCTTCAGAATGACGCGACTTAATGTTTTGCCTGGTGTGGACAAGAGCATTACTCTACGTCAGTTCTTGAAGAAGCCTAAGTCGCCCTTCCTTGGTAGTTCGCCAAGGTAGTCTTTCTTCCAGTCAGTAGGTAGGTACCTTTTTTTCCTACCAAACTTTTTTCAATATTAGAGTGAGTATATATACTCCAATCTCTGGATGCGTTTTAAGTGCTTCATTAGGAGTTCCGTCCGATCAAGCTGCCTTCCCAGCTATCCTATAGTAACTTGATTGCATTCAAGACTTCTGCTTTCGTTGGAGGATTGGTGTCCACTGTCAGTTCCGTGGCCAGTAGCCAGAGACAATGGAGTATTTCTTTTAAATTTAAGATTCTCAAAGTATAAAAGAGACGGAAAGAGAATCAAGATAATTTACACGTAAACTGTTTCCATTGGCAGTAAATCTAAGCAAAAACTATATATACCTCGGTTACTAAACACGAAGTACAATTAAACAAAAATGAGCGGCTTTATAAAATGCTCGAGTCATTTATCAGATGTATTAAAAGAAGCCCAATTGGTCTAGTACATTGAAATTTTCAACTGCTAACTGCTAACTACAGCAAAACCTTTTAGTTATTTTACAACAAGACACTATGCTAATGCATATCAGAATAAAAAGCGGATGCATCAGTTTAATATGTAGACGTTATTGCTACTAGTTGTATGTCCCGACTAAAGTACACCAACTGGATTAGAACAATCAGCTGTAAAAAGGAAGTGTGAATCAATGATGAATTACACTGGCTTAACAACACAGACCGATACCGGTTACCCAAACGACTAAGATTGTGGTGAGAGCTGTCTGCAAGCCAAAATTGGTAAGCAACAATTTACGTCAATGTTCACGTCCCGAATCAGGGTCATGAGAAAAAACAATACCAAAGCTTAATCTTGAGGAACTCAACAACCAATCACAGTGGAGTTAAAGTGTGGAAATATGATTCGCAGATATATGGCTTAACTTTCTAAGAAACGGTAACAAGCAGTACAGAATAACCTTCAGCAAGAAAACAACCAATCAGAAGACGTTGCTTCTTCGCTGACAATAATGTACATAAAAATCTATAAATATCTGTTGATTTTCTCAATAAACGATCTGTTGCCTTGCCCTTGTCTTCTGTAGTTACAAGGTGAGCTTACAGTTACAGATTTCCTTAACCAACAAACAGTGGACGGTTTAGTAAATTCCGTCCCAGCAGTTGAATGATTCGCGAGTTCGATCTGTAGCCTGGGGGTCCTGGATTCAACCCCTGGTGGAGTCATAGGTGCGCACTATTGAAGAGCCCCAAAAAGGGACGAAACAGCTGCCCAGTACTCATTGTTTTTTTAATGAGATCAGCTCATGTTCGATCTTGAAATCAATCAAATCCCTACAAACAAACACTTGAAAATATTCTAAAAATAGTTATTTTGTAGTCCATAATTTAAAAAGACACGATCGACTTTTACTTTAACAATATACACTCAACTCTGTACCCCGTGACAATATATATGCGATAATTGAATGTGAGATATAACCTACCGAGAAGAATAGCCATCAATTCTAAATATGGTCGAACTAGAAGTAATGCAGCAGTTGAAGCGACATTTTCTGTTGAACGTATATGCCGTAAAATTGCACTATGCGAAGCATTACAACGTCTAATTAACCAATGACGCTGGAAAGGAAACAATAAAAAATTAAGAAAACACAAATCCAAATGCATATTTCAAATTAATTACTGTTGACGAATACATCTAAAGAGTTATACAAATAATTTTCAATATTCCGTATGATAAGCAGTATTCTAAAGTGTTGATATGCAGCGAATGGATTTGGTTGTTTACAGATTTGATCAGGAGTTGACATCAGTCAGTGAACCATTGGAAAACCTTAGAGTACTAGACAGCTATTTCGTCCCGGTTCGAGACTCTTCATCAGCACGCACCCACAGGGATTTGGACCCAGGACCTCCGTGAAAGCCAACACTTGATTATTAATCTGACGATCACTGGCGACAGGCTCTATACAAGAAGGTACCTAAAGTTGTGGTAAGAAATCGTAACCACCGGAGTCCATCAAGTCAGCTAAGAGAACAGTTACTTCCATTTGACGTTAGCTGGCAGTCGAGCTATATACATATATATATATATATATATCATGTATTGATAGAAGTTAGAAATTATGGACCATTGGTCTGGGTCCTAGTGGCATAATGGTCTACGAGCTCGCCGTATAACTGGAGGGTCCTGAGTTCGAACCTCGGTCGGTGGCTTCCGATGAAGATTCCCAAGCCAGGACGAAACAACTGTGCAGTACTCTCAGGTTTTCCAAATAGTTTCTTCTCCATCATCAAATTGGTTATAGGTTCTTTTAGGTAGACAAAATATACTTCAGATATCATAAACGGCCTAGAAAGCTCGTGGCTAGCAAGCATTCTAACATTAAACCACAGAGAGAAAAATAAAACTAAGAATAATTGATTTTTATGCACAAATGATTTTGATGAACGATAATTCAGCAACTGTTCAACAGAAGAGTCATATAACTTATGACGTTAACTGGAATATATAGGATTATCGATCAAGCCTGTAGCATATTTAACACAGTGGTTTTCAAAAGAATGGATATTGAACAAAGAATACTCTTTTTGACAACCCCTTAATCATCAGGCTCTACAGTTATACATACACATAATAGTGAATGAATGAATTAGTGTTATGATCAACATTGATGTTGTTTAAATAACATCAAATCAATAATATTGATAAATTACAGCTGAACAGCATCAACATAAAATAAGCTGAATATCAGAAAATTTAGGAAAGATAATATTACAAATTCATGAATTTTTGGTCTCTACTCAAGGCCAGGCCTGGACTTGCTTCCTTTAAACACAGAGCACTGGTTGTTTGAGGCGAATTGCAATAGCCTCTGCTGTTTGGAGCATACGGTGCTTCGATGATTTTGGCAGCTTACTAGGCAACCGGTAGACGATAGAGAAGGATTCTTCAATGCTGGCTGGCTTTGTGGCCGGCCGGTTTGCACCAGATGGTCTAATATGGAAATGTTAATGGTTTTAACTACACCTTTACTTAGCCATAGTGGGAGATGTTCTCGAGCACGAAAAATCAAGTTCCTAGAGCTACGGCCAATATAACTCGCTCCACCATAAGCGCAGTTGAATTGGTAGATACAATTTGATTCGATGTTATTTAAACAACATTAATGCTGTTCATAACACTAATTCATTCATTCACTATTATGGATGCATATAACTGTAGAGCCTGATGATGAAGTTATCGAAAAGAGTATTCTTTGTTCAGTATCCATTCTTTTGAAAAATTTTAATGGGCATTTTTAAACAGTGGTTTTCGTTACAATAATTCTAATGATTACAATATTATAAAATATTGGTGGAATTCTCAAAGTAGAGAAATCACGTTGAGGGGACACATTATAAGAAAGATGTCAGTTATACTGCATGGTGTCAGTTCAGTGATCGTGTAATTCCGACATTCATTCAAAAATGATATTTGTTGTAATGTTTATGACATAAGAATTTGCTTTAAATTATTTATCAAACACAGATTAGATGCACTTCACAGTAAAAAAAAAACAATAAAAAACAACAGAACTATTAATAATTGCATGCACCCAAGACAACTCATCCAATCAATTGTTTGTTTTTATCAGATTTACTTTGTAAAGGCCTTCGACAGCGTTAACTACGCAATAATTTGGGAACTGCCTGAACACTAAGGAGCGCACAAAATCTTCATCTTCATCGTTCAAAAGTTATATATGACAATGTTGCGTGTTAAATGACTCACAAAGGAAAACTCAATGAAGTTTTTGAAGTGAAGACAGGAGTAAAACAAGGCAGCATACTATCACCAGTGATATTCCTAATTGAGGTGGACTGGATTATGCGTCAGACTATTCGTGGAAGCAAGAAGACAAGAAGACTCTAGAAGATCTGGACCTGTCTAACATCACCTAAAGGCAAAAACCGACAAGGTGACAGAAAGAGCACCAAAGTTAAAGTCGTGACCAGTGAGGTCCATCCAGATGCCACCTGTGAGGATGGATGTCCACCGACGACATTTGTTGGAATCGCGCTAAATCACGAATCGGTAGAAGTTAGAATTCATTTACTGGCCATTGAATCGGGTCCCAGTGGCTGAATGGTATACGAGCTAGCTTTGTAACCGGAAGGTCCTGGGTTCGAACCCCAGTGGGTGCATACTACCGATGATTCCTAAACTAGGATGAAACAGCTGTCCAGTACTCCAGTGCTGGTTTTCAATGGTTCTCTAACTGATATCAATCCGTAATCAACTCGTAAAAAAAACTAAGCCTTACAAACCAAATTATAGAAAATTTATTATATGTGTTGAAAGTTTGCTTGACTTTATTTTATAATAAAAAAAATAGTGATAAAAAACATAAATGACAATCACACTAAATAGTAGTATAGTAAGGTGACTCACTAGAACAGATGGCATAGACAACCCTGAATCCCCAGTCCCGTAGACAATATCATGATCCAAATCCACGAGTCGAACCCCAGGTACTAATAACGGTTTCATCCTCTAGACACACAAACACACACAAACAAAAACAAGAAGATGGAGAAGGAGAGAAAAAAGATAAATAATGATACGTATCTTTATACATACAATAAGGGACAAACCTCTGTCAAACATGAATGAACACCAGCAACAAAGGGAGTTGGACAGCTTCAGAAGACGAAGAAAAGAAAGAGAAAATGAGTAGGCAATTCAAAAAACTTACCCAACATAATCGATGCAATCAGGTGGCAGCAGAGTATATATTAAGTGGGGCCTACATAGATGATAAAAAAATTGACGATTATACAACCGGGGAATCAATAAATACCATATGAGAGGATACAGTAGGCTTAAACTCGCCAGCAGACAGGAAGTAACACGTTGTAATCGACTCGAATAGAATATTACACTCTTTTCTAGAAGTAAACTGCATTAGATAATTTTTTTAGAAACTACTGTTGGTTTTCTCCACTAAAAGAAACTCACCTCTCAAATATTACAATCCAATTACCAATAGACAGTGTATTGTAATACTCTAAAATATGGCGCTATAAAAGGCAAAAAATAGGTGAATGATAACAGATAACGACGAATAGGAATCAATAAGTTACATCGTAGAAGAACTGAGTCTGTGCATCTGGTAACAGGATACTCGATTTCTATTCAACAACAAAATAAAATAAAAAGAGGAGTTAAGAAATACTATACATACTATTGTATTCCGAGCTGATGATGGTGGTGATGACAGGACAGATAAGTCTAGGATAGCTTCACCACAATGTTGATGTAAGCGTTTCAGTACAACTTCAATATTTTGTCTATTCTCTGTTAGGTATAAATGCTCTTGATTGATTAATGTGATTAGGGAATGTAAAAGTTCAAAATAAGGTAGACAGCTAAAAAGACAACAAAAAAATTGACATCATATTATTGATTTCATTACCTGCTAACGCATACAATATACTTGGAAATAGGAAGGAGGATACACAAGAAGAATTCTAAATTCCCATTGGCATCTGTGAATATCAGGGTATATTCTTCTGAAATGAGACTGGAATAAATAAAAGGGTATTAAAAACACGCAATAATAACTTGCCTTTTATGTCTGCAGGGAAGAACAAAATTGTGAAGTTTATTCAGACGAAAATCTTCATTGTAAGCGTAGGGATAAACATATTCCAGGACAGGATCTAAAGTTTTGCATACATAGAAGCCAATATTACTAATTAACTAACCTCCAGTTGTATCACTCACATTGAAAATAGTAACACATTCAATTAAATTGTCAGTCTTTCTTTTTAAAAAAAGAAAAGAAAAATTACAAGCGGTGGTAAACAAGCACACTTTAAAAAAGGATGTTACCTTAAACGATTCCAGAACATATTATGTCATCCTAGAGAGAGAATGCACCATTTTGCCGTTTAAGTCAGTAAAAGGTCTAAAATGAAAGGATAATACAGTCATATGCGAAAGAAACAAGTATGAGATGAAAATTGAAATAATCGAATTCAGTTTAGGCTTTAGAGCTGTCTAAATTGGTTGAAAATTGTTATAAATAAAGCAGAAAAAAAATCAATAGAAAATGAGTGAAGAGAATCAATACAGTTTTGACAAGTATAAGAGTGAAACAGAATGAGTAATGGTAGAAAGGAATATGAAGGATTAAAGAGACTGAATACATCTGCGTAAGCCATTGACAACGATTTTGAGCCATGTCACCTATTGTCTCCAGCCATTGATTCTTAGAATCCCGAGGGCCCCAACCTGGAAGTCTGCATCTCCCTACCTGACTCAGTTTAACTGTCAAGGATTTCATGGATTGATGAGGCCATGTTTTTGTTTGACCACCACTTACTCTTTTCCAACCTGCACCTATATCAGCTAGTAATGCCCGTCGGGGTGGGGGAGGCGATGGTTAGGCATGCGCAGCACGTGACCTAGCCATCTCAATCTATGTAACTTTATAGCCTCTTCGATTGATTTTCCCTCTTTGCCCAACACTCTACGCCTAACGTCAACATTACTTACCTTATTATACCACCTAACGCGAGAAACAGATCGCGAGATCGTAAACATCTGTGGTCAAAAACAGACAACCTTTTCATGTCTTCAACTCGTATTGGCCATGTTTCAGAGCCATAGAGAAAGACGGAGTGAACTGCTGAGCAGTACATACGTCCCTTGGTTGATAGCCGGATGTCACGCCTACGCCAGAGATGGCGTAAGTTAGAGAAAGCAGCTCGAGCTTTTTGGATCCGTGCTGTGATTTCGTCGCCAATCAGTCCGTTGAAGCGAATACTAGTACTTAAGAATACCCATTTCAAAGGAATCGTCTATGTATGATAGAGAAGTATTGTGTCATGCGCTGGTAATTTTACCCACACGTAACAACTAGTGTTTGACCAACGTGTTAAGAATATTTCCTGACTAATTTGTAACAGTAGACGCTAAATAATCACCGAAATATAATACCAATAGCAATGGAGCTGATGATAATTAGCAATATGACTTCTACCGGCTTCTAGAAAGTTCTTACATATGAGTAAATTGGATAAAATCAAACATAGAGGGACCATGATTTCGAAATACAATAAGACCATAATCTACTAATTTTCTTTGAACTCATCTCTCCTTGCTTTGTTGACTTTTACCATTGAAGCTGTTACAAAGAATCTTACATCAAAAGAAGTGCACTTTTTCATGAACTGTATTGTAATGGAGATTACACCAATCAACAATGTTACTGTCGCAAGAATACGAAAACTAATACAGCTTGTTTCAGATGAACAAGTGTTTTACTAATGAATCGCACAGATTATGATATTATAGCCGCTGTTTTCTCTACATTAAACGAAATTCTTCCTATTCATAGGGAAAGTGAGGAATTAGGAGTCAAACATCGAAAGTGAACTTTAGTTTCACAGGGCGATAACTTTATTACCGTAGACTAAAGCAGTGAAAAATGAAAGTAGTGTTACACTAAGTTAGCGATTACCAGACGTTTTGAGCATACTGTGGTAATCAGTACAAGATTAGTTTAGACACCTAGATATATCTCAATAGGAAAAACACTATCCCAGCCTTTAAACCTTACCATAAGCATCTTCCAGTAAAACTAGACGAGGTTGACGCTTTATGGTATCCATCAGATCAATATGTGATGTGAATATTTTTGGTCTCCATGTGAAATTGTGGTGGACAGAGATACCTAATTTCCTCATTATTGACTATTGGATTTACTTGACTTTGACGTCTAAAGAATTGACTTCAAAAGAGAGAAAACACTGAGTGGCATAGAAAATAGAAAAGGTTAAAATTTCATAAGTGAAGACGGTGAAAAACAGTCTCCCTAACATCCTCAGAATCCTTTGAACATGTATGGTGTACACCTTTTTACTGCCAAATACGAGACGACTTTACGAATTGCTTCAGCATTGAGAGTCTGTCTGTCTGTTTTCGACATAGAACTTTGCACCGATGTGCAGCAGTTCAAGTCGCCAAGCTCCCTCCATGTAGCACACAAAGCAAGAGAAAGTAGAAGAAATGCGTAATAGAGACAGTAGTAATAGTGACAACAAAGAACAATATAGTTTCATTGGAAATCACAAGGAGTGGATGCATCTGCGCCATTGAGAACGATTTTGAGCCATATCACTAATTGTTTCCAGCCATTAGTTTTTACCGTCCGAGGACCCCAATCAGGAAGTCTGCATTGAGAGTGAAATGGCTGGATATGTTGATTACTTCATTCATCCATGAAGCTGCATCAGTCTTCATGGACAGGTAGCTGAAATAATCTCAGCACTAAAGCGAAAGGCTCGTTTGGGGTTTACCATTTCTCTGATAAAAGACATTTGACTACTAAGCAAACGGCACATTTACCGTGCAACGGTTGACTTCGTCTTATTTCAATGCTGTGCAGCATAGCCCTTGTAGCAAATGGTATGGAAAGACTAAACATCTAGCCATAGATGTCCATTGAATGGAACCATATGGTGAGTCACAACGAGATTAGGTGTAGTGTCAGACAATGTAAGTAAGTCCTTAGATGGAATTGTGGTCCACCAAAAAGTGAGACGATTGAGTTTTGTTTTACACTTGTCGAGCAACAAAGAATGCAACAGAATTAGACTGCAATGTAATTTGGGGTAGTCAAACGTAAGTATGAACCATACAGGCCTATGTAGGTGGCCAGGCTGAAACCTTCTGGTGAAATAGCCGACAAAAGTGCATAATGCCGCAGATGTTTTATGATCTCTAGCTATTCTGAATTACCACGTGCTTTCACTTATTTTCGTAATCCATTCTCTCTCCATTACACACAATTTACCGATGTAATATGACGTTCATATTCCTTTTTGTTAAGTATGGTGTCTCGAATTGTGGCCACATTGAAACTGATATACTGATGCGCAAAAAACATTTTCTTTTTCCTAATAAGATGGATCCTATCCCATCCCATTTCCCCTAATAAGATGGGATCCATACAACTCCGAAGATTAATATGCATTGAAGTATCACCGTTAATAAAAAAGAACTAAGCGAAGATTTGACATTCCTAATTCTCTACGTAAAACATACTCGTCTGCTTCGACGCGTTTAAGAATGACAGCACAGTCGAAGAATTTTTCATGAACATGATTAAAGTGGGAGAAAAGTGAGCAAGTGAGTAGCGAGGGAGAGAAAACGCTCAAATCATGGAGTTTAGGGTGAAAAGTAGGTAACTAATTGTTGAAAACATAGAAAAAAGTGGGTTATAATGTGAGAAAAATAGGAAAAAGTGGGTAAACATGAGGAAAGTGGAGTTTTATGCTGCGACCTACTCACTTTTTACGTACATCTCATCCAACTACAAATTGTCTATTTAGCCCACGTTATTAACAGCGGACGCATGTGCATTCTCTAACATGGAGCTGTCTACGACGTTTATAAGATATGGAAAGTAAACGCTTCCTATAATCACACTTAAAAAGAAAATCTGACAAACTTTATAAATCCACTGGTCCCCGAATTTACTTTCAGATTGACAGTGCACTGCCGAAATAATCATATATATACAGTAATTTGATGGAAAAACCATTCATGAAATATGCAACCCATTCGGACAAAAATGGCAAAAGAATGGGTGATTAATGGTCACACCCACCAGTAAGAAAAATAGGCGAATTTTGGTTACATGATATAAATATTTCTATTTTAACTCAAATCCGAGCAATATTTTGCATCCCTGACTATTATTTAACCATTATTTTATCACAGTTGAAACAGTAACTTCCTATGTATCAACCAATATTTTATGGAAACGTCGCCAGCATTTTACTTCATACAACCCCTACTTTTCACTTTAACCATCATTTATTTAATAATATCACATTTAGATAATTATTTCGCCAGAATTTGCCTGTTACATTATCATTCTCACCGTCTGACCGAAACACGTGCATTCTAACCAGCACTCAACCATCCTTCCCCCCCCCCTCTTTTATCTTAGTTCGAACTGTTATTTGTGCCATTCAGAAAATGAAATATGAGGATTTTCTCCTTCACAAATAGTTCCCACGTGACTAGAAGTTCCAAGAAAATATGCATTGCTATGGAACTTTTAGTCACATGGGTTGAAAATGATTATTAGCGATAAAAGATAGAGAACTCTATTTATATCATATATAATTATCTCCTTAATATGTCCTCTTAAAATGATACAACTACATTCTTAGAGTTAAAATAAAGCAAGCCCAATGGCCTAACAAGATACCTGGTATTAAAATCTAAGGCAAACATAAACTCCTCAGGCAACCTAATATTCTACCTCCTTGAAACGACCTTGAAAAACCGGATTTACCATGCTTGGTTAACCTACAGAACTTATGTATAAGAACAATTTACTACCACACCTCCATATTCTATAAAACTGTGGAGCTGTGATGATCGTCAACAATAATCTGATCTTTGATAATGCCTGTATCGAAGTCAAGTTAGTTATCATAAATAGTATTCTGAGTTCCGGATGATCACCCGATGTCGACAATAGCTTCTGATTATTTTTTATTTTATTTTTTTTTTGATTTACAGCTTGATTCCACACCGTATTTTCAGTACAAGTGTGGAATTTTCAGCATGGATATCGGTAGCCCAAATTCAGGCTGACCATAGATATCGGCTGTGCGCCGGCAGGGGATCGAACCCCGGACCATGTGCATGGTCGGCGAGAGTCCTAACCACTGTGCCATCGACGTACATGAATAAGATCCAATATCCAATATCGTCTTTACGAGCTAGTATAAACCAATTTGATTTCTTTGTGCTCACCTCTTGATTGTGAGATAGAGGTTCCTGATCTTCGGTAAACGTCTGCGTAGCTCGTCCCGCCACTCGACTGCCGTAGCTTTGGTTGACTCCAAAAGGAGTAGTGCAGGGATTAATTATATGTGGTTTGTAGT